GGGGGTTCCTTATTATGACTATAATATAATATACCCCAGAACCCTATTCTAATCATTAAGGCCCCTACATTGGCCCCGTGTATCCTCATGATAAAGGTTTTGAAGGGAGGCTTTCACGACCCCGCATGGGAGACTTCAGCACGAAACGCTGCAATCGGAGCCAACATGCAAGGGCTGCAGTACAGTTTTTTAGATATCATAGGGATAAACGGGGCCAATGTAGTGGTTAAAATGATGAGAATAGGGTTTTGGGGTATATATATATATAAAAGGAGTATAGCAGTATAGGGAATCGACCATCGAGCCTCCAAGCTGTAGGAACCCCATCTGCCTCTGATCACTTAGCTTCTGGGTTCTTGTTGAGGGATTCTTATGGAAGTTACCTGAACGGGGATCTATAGTAAATAATACTGTTTCTGTATTATTGTAACTTAAACTAAATCCCCTTAACAAGAACCCAGTTGCTCAGGGATCGAGCTCACCAACACAAGAGATGCAGCCGCACGACGACATCAGGCGCCAACCCTCAAGCTCGGAACCCGAAGCCGAAGAACCAGTGAGGCCCAAAGCTGGAACATGAAACGTCTGAACGAAACCAGGAATAATGTAACTAGGGGGCTTTAGTAGTTAGGACAGGGCTTTGGGGGTATATTCTGCTGTAACTGTAATATAAGGAACCCAAACCATAGTACCACAGAAACCACGGCTTGTTATGAGGAATGATGTTCGCTTCGTTTCCGAGGCCCTCAGACCTCTCCCTGGAGAAGCCTTGGAAGCTCTGACCTTAAGGACGACATGAACCCCAAAAGGGCACATACCATAACAGAGATTCTTAGTATAAGGGTATGGGGTCCCTGGCTTTAAGGGTCTTTTGGTCCTTGAGGATTCACCCGAGAACGTGCACGGAACCAGCGAAAGTGTGAGTCCTTCAATGCCCGAGAGCAGGGGGACTGAGTAGGGTTCTAAGTACCTAGTAGCCCCGTTTTGCTCCTATGATAGGTAAACGCCCGTGGCTCGGCGAAAAGGCAGATTCTAGCGCGTCGAATGTCCTCCGCGCTCCGCGGAATCCATGGCTTCGACGAGACGCATGACGACTTCGCGCAGGAGCCGCGATCTTCGACTCTGACTGCGGACGTGTCGGGTTGAAAGTTGCATGTGGTTAGATATACCGGATATACCGTACTGTATTAATATATCCTAACACCGGCAGTTGTCTTACTATCAAAAAAATGGCACAGGATGTCATGACCGCCGCTGGTGAGGAAGGGGCTCCCAGTCTTCAAAGGCCTTGAGCCAAGAGCACGAAGAGGGGATGCAAGGCTCTCAAGTGCAGAGGCGAAGACGTAGCCGTCGAATGCGGTTTTTTTGAGCAGCCGAATCTTAGGGTCCAGCCTGAAACGAATCCCATGCTTGGGGAAACTCACACAAAGTCCAAAGCCAAAACTGAAGGCCCTGACTGACTACATCTAGTCAGCGGACACTAAGCCACCCTGTTCCCGCCGGGGACATGCAGTACTCACAAAGCTAGGTATCTTCATGGTCACGAGACCGAAACTGTTTACGACACTACTCCTCGAGGTCTTTGCCGGGCCCTCTACTGAGAGTCTGGGATATCTTTTGCAGATGCACTACGGTCGGAGGTCCAGGGGACTTAGTAAGTCGGCTTTAAGTAGGGTTATAATTTGGGTAACTCTGGTTAGGGTACTTACAACTCTACTCATAACCTACTGAGTCCCCTGGACCTCTAAGTACAGCAGTCGGACGCACGCATCGAGGGTAGCCGCCCTTTGTCCGCTGCGTGCGCGAACTCCCAACTGCTCCAGAACTCGTAACACAGATTCAACCTTGAAGCAGTACTCCGGACCCAGACGGACGCCCCCGGTGGCTCAGCTGTGGCATTAGCATTGCAGCATGCGCGGCTCACTCACTTATGGCGAAGGCAGCGATGGAAGCTGAAGCCTGCAAAGTGGGTCAACACGGGGCTGTGTGCAACTTCGAGGGTGGCAGGTTCCGGCTTCGAGACTCCCGAGCCCTCAGACCTCCTTCGACATCCGTGTCGCTCCGGCTCTGAGCCGGCGGCCTACACCTCCAATTTCTTCAGCGCTGGCAGGTCTTTCACGGCATCCCTCACAGCCTGGCAAAGGCAGAGGGTGCGCCACATCGTCTGTTGCCGAACCCGACCGAAAGTCTCTCTGCCAAGCTGTCCAGAAGCTGGCAGTCAGGGGTTAGATGTACGTTCCGTCCAAAGGGGGCCCCCTCACTCCAGTATCGCTTCTGAAGTTTCCGGCTTGCCACTGCGGTGTTCACGGAAGTTCTTGAAAAAGGCAGCGGTATATTCATTGTCACCTATCGGGCAGTTCTCTAAATTAGGGTCCCTACTGGGGTCATGTTCATAAGGGTGCCGCACTATATTGGGGACCTAAAAAGGGACCCTACTTTTTAACTACCCTTTTGTCAATGAAGAGACCGTGTGTGCTTGTGCGAGGCGCGAGAGCTGAGCTTCGGGGTCAGTAGGAGACTATATCGTCGCCATGTAACTCCTTCCCCATCATCCGCATCTAGACCTTCTTTTTTGAACGAAAAAGCGAGGCTCAAGACCTCGACCACTCAGCATCTCATGGACATGCTCGTGGTTCTCCCAGGACGCGCCTTCACACCGTAGTCTCCGAGAGTGTTGTCACCTAGACGAAGGACCTTCAGGGCGGCGAGGCCCTTGAGAGCGGGCGCCAGGGCCTGGCGGCGAAGTTGCTTTCCCCAGCGAAGGGCCTTACGCCTAGATGGGCCGTCGTGGTGACAATGCGGTATGCCCTAGAATCCTCTGCACCCGCTTGGCCTGGAGATCTTGGTAAGACAGAACTCTTCCCCGGCCTCAGCACCCTCTGAACCGATCTTGTTGTTCCATAGGACCAACTGCTCGAGCAAGGGCATGCCCGTGAGGGACTCCGCCAGAGCCTGGCCGGCGCCGACGTGTGGAGCACTTCCAGGTATGTCGGAAGCCACACAGGTGCGTAGCAAGCTCAGGGTCTGAGTCTGAACTAGAGTGCTGACAACTCGTGCTGTCGGGTGTCCCCTCTTTCCTTGCAGCAGGTGTCTGCAGCTACTCCGAGTTCTTCCCCCAAGATGAGATCGAGGAGAACCTGACCGCCTTCCGTTTCGACAACAAGATGCTTTGCAAATGTTCATATTCAAAACCTATCATAATATCACGTCTCAAGAGAACCGCAGCGAGGCTCCAAACCCCGCACGCATTCGAGGCTGAGGACGAACCACTCAGAATCATCAGAATCTGCCCAGAGCTTGAAGGCTCAATCTTAACTTCCGATTCTCCCACGACGCGCCTTCGCCCCGTAGTGCCCGAGATGGTTGTAGCCTACATGGAGGACCTTCAGGGCGGCGAGGCCCTTGAGAGCGGGCGCAAGGGCCTGGCGGCACACTTGCTTTCCCGAGCGAAGGGTCGTGGCGACACACGGTTTAATGAGTCAGCACAGAACTACATCCCCTGCCTGCATTTCTTTTGGACCGATGAAGGTGTGTTGTAACGCCAGCTCCTCAAGACCAGACTTTCCAGCCAGGGCGAAGCGGAGGGCCTGGCCAGATGCAAAGCGATCAGGCAGTGCCACAAGTGCCAGTGTTCCCTTGCAACAGGTTCATCGAACTCTTGGACATGTGTCCCAAAAGGAATTTGCTGCTGTAGACGAAGGGTGTTGAATGCTGTCAAACACCTACCTCCGACAGCGAGCCGTCGGGTTCCCAGAGTACGAGGCTCTTCAGCGCGACGTGGCTCTTGAGGGCCTCCAACACGGCCTGGCAGAGAAGTGCGAGACCGCGCCCAGGAGGCAAACGAGACCCACGGGGCACACCCCACCGCCTCGACATCCTTACCCGAGTAGACCTGTAAGACCTGCAGCCGAGACTGGCCCTGCAAGGCCGCAGCCAGCTCCTGACAAAAGCAGGAAAAGCGGCTGGAAGTTGTGCTCCCGTCACGATGCCTCGCAATCCGCTCGTTTGCCCCAAAAGATCTCGACTTGGCCATCTCGGAGAGCCTGCCGCACCTGTCCGAAAGGGAGCCCCCTCTGGTTCTGCTGACACGGAGGCCCCAGGCGCGGAGCTGCACCTCCTGGGCTTTGTCAACAGCATCAGTCGACTTGTCATCGTGTGCCACCACCACGTCCATCAGCCTGAAGCACCGACTCAGGTCTTCGGCAGCCTCGGTGTTGCACACACGGCTGTGTTTTGCACAGGGCTGCCCACGGTGCGGTACGTTACACAGTCCGGCCTGGCCTTCGCTCGTGGGCCCCAGTCTAGGTTCATAAGGTTTCCGGAGATGTGGAGCTGAACGGCTGCACGTCGCCGAATGGAGGCCAGAGCCTGCATGTTTGGTCGGCATTTTCATGGAGATGCCTCATGGTCGATGTCGCCATGCTGCCAGTAAGGTCCTAACCTGCAACCCATTTGCGCCAATGCCGTTGGCCACGAGGCTCAGTCGTTCGATCGCGCAGCGGTCAGAGTCAAGGCATTCTGCCACGACCTGGCAACCGAGGCGACGCACGAAGAAGGAAGGTGCCTTGCATTGCCGGCCTTGGCCCCCACATCCCGCAAGGCGTTGTGGGCAGCACGGAAATGCTTGAGGGTCTTCGTACAGAGAAGCTTCTGCAAGGCCTGAACATGCCGAGGTGATGCATCGGAGCATGCGACTGCAGTACGTCTTACTTCTGCGCGTTTGATGCATCGGAGCATGTGGCTGCAGTACGACTTACCGTGCGGCATACAGCCGATCGAACATAACTCAAGGCAGACAACATGTGCGACCTACAAGCTTTTTCCTACAAAAACACGCTGCACCCCCGACAGGCACAAATCGGCCAGCGGAGCGACAATATCCGCCTGAAAGCGCACAGAGCTCTAGAAAGGCAAAATGGTGGACGCTCCCACGGCTCGATATCCGATACCACATCATGCATGGCACACTACGCTCCGCAAGGTTGACTACCCCCCTCCCAGCTGATACAAAAATTGGGTTCACGAAGCCGCAGCTTCGATGTGGCTCTGGAGCGGTGACAGGGAGCACAGAGCAGATCTTACGGCTTCTTCAGAAATCAGCACTGCATGGAGCCGACTCGCCGACTCAACGTTAGACTCTGCTGGACAAGTACATGCTGCCTGTCCAGGCCTCGGAACAGAGCTCCAAAATTCTATTGGATCCAACATCGATAATCTCCACAGGCGTCTCCGTCTTGACCAGTGCTTCTGCCAAGGCCTGCGACAAAGGTCCAGGAAAGGCGGTGTCAGCACAGTTCGGACAGCTTTTCGAGCCCAGCCTGGAAGCCCGCTGTGCCCAGGTCGTTGCCGGCCACACTCAGCTGGCGGAGGCTTTCTTTGCGCTGGGCTGCGGCGACGGCCTCCGTGATGCACACAAAAATGATTTGCCAGGCACCAGGCTAACAAACCGCTCTCGGCTCATTGCAGGCCTTTGCAACTGCACCCGCCAAGGTGTTCTGGTCGGCTCGGAAGTCCGTCAGAGTCGCGATGCTGAGGACCGTCTTCAGGGCCTGCGTGCAATGCTCTCGGAATGCATGCGCTTGGAATCTGTTTGCCAGACAGGCAGGTCCAGGCAAGTGAATTGGCACTCCCGGCTCCGACAAAACATCAGAACAACAAATAACAAATAAGTAACTGTCAGCGATAGCTGTTCGAACGAATAACCTACGACATGCCAGCAGAGATCCGGCAAAGCAGCACCGAAGCAAAGACCAAGGATGGCAACTGGAAGTGGCCATCCGCTGTGACTAACTTCGGTCGGGTCATGAGCAATTCGGACCATGCCCGGGTTCCAGCCGGGCATCAGAAGCCAAAACACGACAACACTACGCTTCCTGATCGAACCTGAATCTAAATCTTTCCAAGTTCTACAGCATGTATGACAGGGCTTCTCCTTGATCTCAATCACAAGTGCAGTTTGCAAAGTGGTCGTGTTTGTCTGTCACAGGCTCAGGGGCATCCGCTGCCGTTTGGCTGGATTGGTAAATCATGCGACCCAGAAAATGGTTTTCCATTGTCGAGGCTGGGCACGGAGCATGCAATAGGTGCAAGGACCTGCAGAAGTCAATTTGCCCCTCTGGGACACCTTCTGTGACTAGAAAGGACCACATCAAACGAAGAAGTGTACCAGGGACCCGTCGAAGCAGGGTCCGTACACAAGGATGACAAGCCCTGAACATGGCTCATGCAAACCTGAACTCAGCCTTGAAGGCTTCGCTGGGCTCTTTCCATGGATATCTAGATGACTCTCAGATGAGACATCTTCACTCATTTTGCTGTCTTCTGACTGGACATGGTTTTGCAAACCAAAGCTCCCTACGGCAGGAGACCTTATGTGATGGCTAGCCCTTGAAACGACCCTACACCTCAACACGATGCCACTGCCAAGGCCTCAGCGCACTCCGGTCCAAGATCGTTGGAGCCCACGTCCAGAGACTCCAGCAGGGAAGTCTCAGCCAAAGCCTCTGCCAAGGCCTGCGAGAGAAGAGCGAGAGCCTACGCTGCACTAAACCCTGCTCGAACCCAGCCTGCAAGCCAGCCGCACCCAGGCCGTTGCCAGCGACGTCGAGGTGCCGAAGGCTTTGAATGCGCAAGGCTTTTTCAGCCAGGGCCTGAAGCAAGCTTCCTGGCTTCGGCCGAAAGTATGGCCCTGTGAAAACACGGTATGCAGCGCCTGCATGCCGGTGGTCCCAAAAGAGTTTCCCGACAGCTTCAGGTCGATGATGGAGCCGTTGGCAGCGATGCTGGCGGCCAGGGCCTGTCAGCTGCTACCGGGCCCAAGCTCACAATGCAGGCCACTGCAAGTCCGGAACGTGGACAAAGACCCTGCGCCCTGCATTGCTGCCTGACCCTCCTCTGCTCCGAGGTCGTTCCTGGAGAGATTTACCTGTCAACTGTCCCAGGCTCAAGCCATTGAGAAGAAGGAAGGAGGGCCTCTTCCACCAAGACTGCCTTTTTCAGGTAGCTGCATACGGCCTGAGGGCATGCAAGCTGACCACAACTCTGCTCTGGTTTACGGTTAACGGTCAACAATTTAGGGCTGCTTCTGCTTCCTTAGGGCTTCCAAGACGAGCCTGGAACTCCAAAGCATCGCCGCGCATGTCTCGGTCGTCCAGAACAAGGCGCGTGCCCTTGGAGGCTGCCAGCATCAGCATCTCCTTCAGGAGCTGGATGTACCGTACTTCCCTGCTCTTGTCCCCTGCGCAGCATTCGCGAAAACTGTGACTGTCAAAACGCCAGACAAGCACAGCAAGGGGCCTGGCATGGACTCCAACCGGTCCAGGAGCTCAGGCTCGCCATCGAAGACGGAGAGGCCACGCGCGACATGAGCCAGCAGCTTTGGAGCCTCGTCGAAGTCGGCCTTCTCACGGATTTTACTCTCACTAAGTCACTAACTCGGCTCAAGCATGGACGTCACAGCAAGCGCGGAGCATCCCTGCAATTTGAAACTCAGGGTTTCCCGGGCCTCTTTCCAGAGTCCTCCCAGGGTCAACATATCCTCGTCTTGGATGGCGGACTTGAGTTTCTTCACGTACCAGGGCACCATGGCTTCCCGAAGGCGTGGGAAGAGAGCCCTGGATCCCAATACCTGAAGAATCGGCACGGCGATGTTCAGCACCGACACGATGACGCTGCCACCTTCTGCTGCTGTGTACAGCACCGCCATGATCGCCTGCGGGGCGTTCTCCACGAGCAGCATCTGCTGCTTCGTGGGCGTCGTCTGTCGGTAGAGGATGGGAAGCCACACCTTGTCCTGCCACATCTTTCTGAAGCAGCCATTTTTCTTGGGGCCTTCCGTCCCGTCGGGCCGTTCGCGCTGTTGCCTCCGGCCATCTTCAGTCTCCGTCGCCATGGTCCAAATCGAGAGGACGTGACTAGCGAGTTCATTGAGCACGCTCTCTTGCTGAAGAAGGTAGGCGTGGAATGCTGGGATGTACAGCCAGCTTATCCACGCCATGGCTTTGACGCCGAACCAGTCCGACTGCCAGCAGAGTCCTCCGAAGATGATATCCTTCAGCATGTCAAAGTTGTCCGACATGAAGGGCACCATGCCCGCCAGCGTTGCGTCAGCGAAGGCCATCCGGGGATATTCGTGCTCTTTCGGTAGAGACAGGGCCTGAAGCAAGTGCCACAGGCAAGCGAGGCTGAGAAGTCTCAGGTACCACTCCCAATACAGACCCGTCCTCTTGGACAGGCTACCTGTTGCAAGGCTCACCAGCGTGGCAAACATGCAAATACTGTAGGTGCACGCGAAGGAGATCTGAACCGCCTTTTTGCGGCCCAGACGGGCCCACGTCCCCGCCCTTCCTCGGCGCGGGCTCAGTAGCGCGTCTGCATCTGCATCGGTGGAGCTCTTATTGCCCAGCACAGTTGGGCCGGCTTCTTGGGCTTCCCTCGCCTTTCTGGCTTGTTTTGTGTGCCGTGCCACGATGGCTGTTCCAAGACCAACAGTCACGAAGTACACCGCAAAGAGGAGTGGGACGAAGAGGATGGATCGATCGTCCAGGCCCGTAGCCTCCTTCAGAGTCGTAATCGAGACGTTCGTAATCGAGACGTTCTGCTCCATGGCTCGCCAGCTCAGGCCTTTCCCCTTCCAGCTTCTTGGGGCCCTCACAGCTAAAGCCCACAAAACGCCCGTCCCTGAACCGAACACTTATCTTCAACCGGTGCTGTGCTTTCTGCTGTTCTGCTGTCCGACAGCTGCTCCGTACCCTTTGCTTCGGGCCCCAAATGCCTGCAAGGTGGAAAGCCATGTCACAGGTTTGGGCCCGAAGACGCAGGAGCGAGAAACTGAGACCCCGCTGTGCACCGCCTGTCCTCGTTGTGAGAGACTTTGACGCAAAAACTCAGAGCAAAACGGTCGATCTTGAGGGCTTCGAGACCGAAAGGGACTTTGGTTGCGACTTTCGGGGTGGCCACATCCATCGGATGCGGACGGTCTCGGGGACCTTTCAGAACTTATGCATCTGCAGCCACTATTTCCAACTTCGTTGGTCTGTGAAGTGTGTTCGCTTCCTGTCCCTGCATGTTGCCTCGTCATCACATCCTAGCGCTTTCTTCCTGTTCTTCCATCTCCAAAACAACCTGATCATGATGTCCCAGATCTGTCGTGCCTTGCTCTGTGGGTTTTTTGGTTAGCTTCTTGAAGCTCAACTTAAGAGGAGAACTCGAACTAGCTCAAACGAGGGTGCCGACAAAAACGCGCAAGACACAGGACATCAAACGATGACGACGCAAGTGCGGAACGACACGAAAGGTGAAAAAGTGTTTATAGGCCTGGATGCGTCGCACAAATCCAACGCTGTTTCGAGTCAGTAAGCTGAGCAGTTGCTAAGTCTAAGCAAAGTGTCACGCACGACAGCTGCTTCCCTGCTTCCTGGCTCGATATGCACAGAATCGGACAGCAGTTTCCTTCCTTTGCCCTCGGAGGAAGGCGAAGTCAGGATACGGCATTCCGCGCAAGCGGCCGGCACCCCGACATCGCGCGGCGGCCAGGACAAGGCTGGCATCTCCTCCGCGCTTTAGGGTTTAGGGTTTTAGGGTTTTGGGGTTTAGGGTTTAGGGCTTTGGGCTTAGGGTGTTACGTTTGGGGTTCAGTGTTTATAAGGGTTCAAGGTTTAGGGCTTAGCGTCTTAAACCCAAACTCTAGGCAAACTCTAAAGATTCACTGCAGAGCCGTTTGGGCGGACCAACAATCCAACTACAAAGACTAGACTCAGACCACGGTACTCCCGATGCCTACACAGCGTCTGACTGAGATGATCAGATGGGGCTTTGGATAATAACTGTAATTATAAGTATAATTAAAACTACAAATAATATTATTATGATTATTACTACTACTACTACTATTATTATTATCATTATATGGATGGTCGTTTCAGGGAGCTCCGAGAGACTCTTGGAGCCTTCAGTGTTTCGGCTTTGAGGTTGGTGACCTTCCCCTTCCTCCCTCCTCTCAGCCCACGCCATGGGCCATGAGCGACTTGACGACGCAGTCCGAAGAACCGACTGAAAGGCCTCTAAGCTGCGGAAAATTAGACAACCTTGAACATTTCCTGCAGTGTCTAATCTCCCCTCAGCTTCAGGGCACGATCTCAAAGTCCGCTGCTCCCAAAGTCCGCTGCTCCCACGACGCGCCTTCGCCCCCCGTCGTCATCGAGATCGTTGCGGCTGAGATCAGGAACCCTCAGGCCGGCGAGGCCCCTGAGAGCGGGCGCCAGCGCCTGGTAGCGGGTTCGTTTTAACGAGGGAAGTGCCTTGCACCTGGATCGGATGTCATAACGACGCCTCCTACACTCTAGAATCCTCTGCACCTGCTTGACCTGGAGATCTTGGCAAGACAGAGCTGGACAAGACAAAGCAAACAGCTCCTACCGCGCTCAACCGAGAAGTCCCATCCCATCTACCCCGGCCTGAGCACCCCCAGGACCGATGCAGCTGCCGTGTAGCTTCAACTCCGCCAGGACATACCCTTCACTTCAGGGACTCCGCCAGAGCCTGGCCGGCCCCGCTGTCTGGAGCGCTTACAAGCCACAAAGGTGCGTAACTAGACTCGAGAGCCGTGGGTTGGGACGAAGGCTCTTTCCCGGACCGGGGCTGAAAGACGACTCGGAGGGAGAGACATGCAGACCTATCATAGACAGACAAAAAGACGCCCAGATACACACGAAGACGTACATGCGTATACACGCACGCAGACATGCACACAGATATGCCAAGATGCCCTCTTGCAATGGGTACCAAAGGATGCACAGCCTCCCGTTTCTGTGGTCTGCTGAGGTTCACTCTAACCTTCAGTACTTTTTCGCGCAACAAGCCAAAATTAATTTTGTCCTGCTTGGTAGCATCCATCCACCGAGCACGGGGTGATGAGAACCGTTAGTACTAAAGACGACTGCAATCGGTCGATTTGAATTGTTTCCATCCTTACTCTTTCCACCCACACTTCACCAAAACCGTTGATTACTCCTGAACCATCCCTCATCCCCGGTCCAAAATCACTCCCACCATTGTAAACTCAGCGCAGCACCTGAAAATTAAATGGAAAAAACCATCATTTAGTGCCAGATTAGGATTAGTAACCCCCCTCCAATTCGTAAACCCCTTCTCAGATGTTGGTTCTGTGACATACCGACCAACCATTGCTACATCCCTAGCGATGCCATCCAACCCGGTTCCCAGCGCCACTGCTGCATGGCCTCAGCGTTGCAGCAGCCGCCGCCACGCGCAATAGGCGGAGGCCCGAAGGTGGCCGTACTCCGCGTAGGACATGCGCTGTGGGTCCCAGGGGCTCAGGCATAGGTCCTGCTGGGCACGGCTGGGGGCTGGGATGGGCGTGGTGACATCTGTAGTGAGGGTGAAAAGCGGTTGAAAAAGTGGTTGATATTTTCGACGAAGTAAAGTTAGGTTATGATGATCAACATTCATAGAGTAAACCCATCATTTACACACGTGATATGTGCATCTACACACCTGCCTGCACGTGCTGACTAGAATGAACAGTGTTGGATATGCACGTAGAATACATATGTTTGTATATCACTATATGTATCCATATAGCATATGTATAGGCAAATGCATCTTTCGATGCAAAATAGTCATTGCAATGACACATACATCACTGGCTGTTACATAACAATGTGCATAATTGCTGGTTCCTGCGGAAGCCAAATGGTCCATTCTGGTAAGCTGGCTGTTGACACACAGAAATGCTCATATGTCCGCGGGCATTCCATTTCGAAAAATACACATGAGTATTGGACAAGTAATTTGTTGGTATCAAAAACCAAGCAAATCAGAAAAAAAGAACAGCGGATGCATCCTGGATCCAACAAAGCTATTCTGAATCGGAACAGATTGTCGTGAACATTTTGGTCAATCATGCTGCGTCCGCGCTGGACAGTTGGTAGCCCATAAATCATTCTTCAATCCTGGTTGATGACGGTTAGCCCCTGATTCTGAACAATGGTTAGGTTTGAACCATGGCTGTGGTTTGCAATGGTTTGCAATCATCAATATCAGTTGATAGGGGCAAACACTGACGATTGGATTGGCCGAAAACCTTGACCCCGTCAAGCACCCCAAAAATATGAGAATTCTGCAATCATCTCACTGACAATGCTGAGAATTTCCATAAAAAAGACAGCTCAAACAAAAGTTCAAACAAAGATATGAATCAAACTACTGAACTGTCAACATCATTGGCAAATGGTATGAATGTCTGACTCAACACTCAAAGCCGTTTCAGAGCCTGTGGATTATCACATGGGGCTCGCTGGCATTGACTGTTAATCAGAGCTTCTTACCATGGGCAATCAGTGAGCATAAATCAGTGATAAGGTAATCATTGGACAATCATTCAACATGAATGGTCATATTATATTATCAAAGTAACCACTGCCACCCACCCACCCACCCTTGGCAAATACAAGCCCCTGAACCCTAAGTCCTCATGTGGCACGTTGCTGGGGTCGTTGAGATCTTGTAGCACGGCAACTGCCTCAAATGACGTGCAGCGCAAGGGTGCCAGAAGGTACAAGCCATCAGCCATTGGCCGTTTGACATACCGTTGTAGGTAGCTGACTGGTTGGTGTTATCATGGCATGACACCAGTTATTTGATTATGGTATGATAATGGCATGATACTGATTAGACAATAATATGTATATATATATATATATATGCATATGTATGTATGTATGTATGTATGTATGCATGTATGTATGTATGTATGTATGTATGTAAATAATGGTCTCAGGATGATTTTGCATGGCAGGCTGCTAATCACCATGACCAAACACATCCGAGAGTCAAATGGGATGATCATCCGGCCAGTTAAGCATCGTAGAGTTCACACTCTTGGCTAGCTATCAGCAAGCAATCAACCACGAAAAGGCACAAAGAGCATTCTTGGCCAGTGGGTAAGCTGCATTGGAACCCAGCATAAACTAGAAAAGCATCTAAAGAATGTTAGAAACAAAGTTCATTTTTCCACTGAACCAAAATCCCATGCTGCAAACCATATCTACGGTCATTGATAGACACAACTGATGATTTACAGTCACACATTGTCATGATGCTTTGTATAGGGGACAACTGAAGGCCAATGTAATAGGTCAGGATGGATTGATCACCACTAACCAATTATTGCTAATTATGTGAAACCATCACATATCAAATTTGACAAACTTAATCTAACCCCAATATGATAAACATGGGAAGTAAACCACCATGGCCCAAGTAACTATATCACACTGCTTGAAACCCAATCACAAATCTAAGCATCTTTATCTAATGATGCAGCATCTCGTGGTGGCTTATCACGGTTCATACATCAATTTTGATCCAGAAGGTTGGATAAACCAACCACCAAAAGGTTACATCATGATGAAGGTCAGCCGCCATGAGCCACTTAACTATATGACTATTATTGAAAGTTAGAGAAAGATGGCTTAAGCACTATGAACCCGTTAGTTGTGTAACTAGGTTCGGAAACCATGCATTATAAACATGGATCCATTCATTGTAAACAAATATAAAAACAGGATCAACCACCAGTTGAAC